GCCAGATTTGGCCACCGGCTGTGCCCTGTGCTCTGCTCTTGGAGTCTGCGGCGGCCGTCATGTCCACGGCGCAGGCAGGCGAGCTGAGGGAAAAAAAAGGGGGGGAATTCGCAAAAATCGTAATAGCATGCATGTCTCTAGAAAAATTCAGTTTTACGCCCTCCATGCCACTGCCGTCAGTTTGACTCTAACGGTGTCGAACTGCAGGTGTGAAAAGACGAAAATACCCTTAAGTCTAAATATGTCATTAATTTTTTTTGACCATCTTAACAACTTCAAATGAAAAAACTCAAAACTAGAAAGTCGTAGATCTCGCCGAGATCTATAATTTTCATATAAAAATTATCTTCATTTAATTCCGCAAAAAAAGATATGATTTTTTTCACACCTGCAGTTGACGGCGTTAGAGCCCAAACAACGGCAGTGGCATGGAGGGCAAAAAAAGGTTGAAGCAGTGGCGCTGAAGACCGCTGAACTTTTTCAGAGGCACATAGGGCATTGCGATCTTTTTTAATAGCATACAAGGAATTCCCCCAAAAACAAAAGGGAGAGAGGAAGAAGGAGTCAAGGGCAAAAAGGACAGTTCCCCTCTGTTATCTCTCTTCATAAAGTAAGAAATTAATATTTTATTGGCCACGGTACAGGAGTAAATTTGATAATAACGACAGTATCCACCAGCAAACTGCTTCATTTTGTATGTCTACTAGCAAGAGATGTCACTTTGAGTTCCTGTAGCTAATTTTGCCTATTTTATATTGTTCAAGTAGTCGTAATTCTTTATTTCATAGGATATTTTCATTGTGAATATAACAGTTCATTATTCCGCAGCATATTTGAATTATTCTAGTAGCAAAACTCATTGTTCTGTGATATATTTTGGATTGCAGTAAAAAAAACCATTTTTGGCATTTTAATTTTATGATTGTACTACTTCCAATACCAAAACAAAATGCAGGTTTGGTTCACAAATGAAATCATTTTATGGCAGCACATTTTAATTCGATAAGAAAAAAGTTTTTTACCAACAAAAGTCAAGAAAGAATGTGCGCGAGCTCTGCGTTGCTCTGCTCAAACAAAGAACAAGAAACAAAGCAGCCCAGCAGGCTGAATCGTTCACGTCACATTTTGAAGCCCAATCGCCTAGAGATCATGGAGCCCACCACTGGTTAGAGGCTTAGAGCCTAGACTGGTTTGCATATGTTTCATTTCTTGTTCTTTTAAAATCAATGTATATATCCTTTTCTATGCAATAATTAATCAATATATATATAGGGTTACTATGATACAGATTCCATGGTTTAAACACATAACTAAAAAAATTAATCCTAATTAAACATGTTAATTATACCATAGAAACATTTTGCATTCTTAATACAGTATTTCATTGTTTCAATTTTTAATGTACTATAGGGATATAATTATGGCTATAGCTGTTAAATAAATGAAATGAATTGTGCTTCAAATAGGAAGTGTAAGCGTGTAAAATTTGTCTCGGCAAAAATGAGAAATGTGTACATAAACCGAATTGGCTTGGCCCAAAATATTCTTAGCTACAGACAACGTCACGACAGACTCGTGGGCTGTAGGGTTTTGTTGTCAGGAAGGAAAGGAACAGACGACGGTATCAGACACCGTTGTTCCGATGATCCGGCAACAGGCTCGTGGGCTGCTTTTATTAAGTTTGGGCCAACTCCTGTACGTTCCAGCCCAGCTACACGAGCAGCCACCAGAAGGCCCTACAACCGTCTTCTTGGGCTTGCAATAACACGTCGACGTCCGTCAAGGATCACGTGGCGTGCCACCGCGCGGCCGGCGCCGCTGGCCGTCCGTACGTGAACGCCGCCGCGATAACCATGCAATCCGCCCGCGCGGTGGCGTCGGCACGGCAAATTCCACTTCACCTTGCCCTGCGCTCGTGTGGCTGAAAACCGCCGGCCTGGTTGCACGCGACGCCATGTCGCCGTGACGACGAGCAGCTGCTGCTCGACAGAGAAGCTATGACCGTGCAGTGGTGACGACGGTTGGCGAGGCCGCGGCGTGCCGCCAGGGCACCACCTGCTGTTGCGTGTTTCGATCGGAGACGCAGCCAGTGTGTGTGGATGGTTTCGTATGTTCCTTGACCCGGTGATCATAATCTCCTGACGAGAGATTGCATTCTCTGCTGTGCTGTTTGCTGAAGACACTGTTCATGAGCAGTGATCGACAGTCCATCCAATCACACACCATCACCATGCGCACACCCACCAACTTGCGTTGACACGACATATACAGATAGATATAATCAGACAGCATAATGGTACCTACGTATACTATATAAAAGCATATATAATAAACCCCCCTACAGCTAGCTAGCTCTACTTAGGTGGTGTTTGAATCTAGTAACTAAAATTTAGAAGATGTGTCGGGAGGATGTTGCATGAGGTGTTCGAATACTAATAAAAAAATAAATTACATAATCCCTTAGTACCTCACGAGACGAATTTTTTAAGCCTAATTAATCCGTCATTAGCATATGTTTACTGTAGCACCACATTATCAAATCATGGACTAATTAGGCTTAAAAGATTCGTCTCGCAAATTAATCGTAAACTATGTAATTAATTTCGTAATTAGTTTATATTTAATACTCCATACATATATTCAAACATTTGATGGGACAGCGACTAAAATTTACCGAACACCGTATTACAGCCGACAACAGTTGCCATCAGCAGATCAGCTCTGCTCAGAAGAAGGAAAAAAAGAGTAACAGTGACAAGGAAACCGATGGCTGTTGTTGCTGAAAGATTTGGTCGATCTTGAGTTCTTGACAGCGCGGTCAATCAATCAAGGAAGGAAGCATATTTGTGGTGCTCTGACACGACGGCTCGTCTAACTCCTGCTCCATTTCTGTGCGAGGCTGCCTGCCTCTCGATGGATAAGCATGGCTTGCCCGTCCCAGTAGCAGGGCAGGCAAGGCAACGGCGGCAGCCACTTGCCTGCCCCGGCCCGGCCGTAGCTTTCCTACAGTCCCGGCACGCAGCACGTACTATGAACGGCGACGCATCAGCGAACAGTCATGCGCAGCGCAGCATCTCGGCGTCACTGAACTGAGCTGAACTGAAGCAGTGGCAAAACAGTAACCGGGGCAGCAGTGGCCACCCGATCTTTCCTTTCCTCACAAAGCAAACAGCTCACTCCAACAAACAGCTCGATCGCAGCCAACGTTCATGCATGCCATGGGAGGGATCTTGTACACCTGAACATGAATGGATGGATCCATGGTTTCTGGTTAGGTTAGGTCCGTGGCCACTGCGACAGCGGAATGATTCTCCGGGCAATACGCTGCAATAACGTACGCCAGTCATTGATTCGTTCGTGGAACGGGCACTGCTCCCGCGGAATCTTGTACATGGTCGCCATGATCGGGACACTGTCAATCTCGTTGCAGAGGTACTGTCCTCTGATCGTCCTCTCTACCGTCAGACCCTACTGCCTTTGAAAATCTATTTGCCCCATGCCCCCTTGCACAAAAAGATGATCCACTTTTAATCCTGTTTATTTGTTTTCTATATCTTTGACTGACTGAAGATTTTTAGTTTTTTTGTTTACGCACTGAGATATCGTTAACCTTGGTAGGTAATGTAAGCACCTCTAGGCTAGGCTTAGAGTTCCTCATCCACATGCTATCAGCATTCAGCAGAATGCAAGAACTTTATCACAAGAGAGCTGATGAAGAAAGACGGCCAGTTCTACTTGGCCAGCCGGCCAACTGCAGCAGCAGTATAATATAGCCAGAAGCCAGAAGCCAGCACGACAAGAATAGCATTACAGACACAATGCAGACACTACCACATTTATTTGTTTTCCATATCTTTGACTGACTGATCTTTTTTTGTTTTTAGGCTATTTTCTAGGCTAGAGTTTCTCATCCACATGCTATCAGCATTCATCAGGCAAGACAGTTTTCACAAGAAGGCTGATGAAGAAAGACGCCCAATTCAGTGTAGTAGCCAACTGCAGCAGCAGTATAGTACAGCCAGCACAAGAATAGCATTGCAGACACAATGCAGACATGCAGTACCACATTCAGATCCACGAAAGAAACGCCAGCACGACATGCATGAACGTTGTCAACTTTGTGTGGATCTTCAGAGCTTCAAATAAAGAAGTGACTGCAGAACGGAGATGTTAAGTAATCTACAGTTCATTCATTGTAAAACCATCGATATGTAGGAGTATGTATCTGCTGAAGGACAAGACATCTTTTTTGATTCAGACAGGCCACGCCTTTAACATGCATGTTCCACAAATCTGAATCATACAATCATACAAACAGGCGACTGCATGCCGAATTAATCACCAGGGGACTTGCACGGACAATCAAGTTCGAAATACACCTAGATTAAATTAACAACATTACAGAACTACAAGCCATAGACACTAGAGCGAGCGACCGCGACCGACCGACCCCCCTTGGCAATCAGCGGTAAACGGTAACAAAAATTCCATAACAATGTCCTTGCATTGCAACGCATCCTTCCTGGTACACAAACATTTCGACGATCCAATGGTTGGATAGTCCAGTCCACGGCTGCTCATGAACCGAGGCGGTACAAGCCATTGGCCATGAACGGGCCATCCATGTACAGCCCAGCTGCGTTCTGTGGGTGGAAGCCTTCCATCATCACGAAAGGCATATCCTCTGACGGCTTCCAATGCCGTTTCCTCTGGTTGATGAACCAGTTGTTGATCTGCTTCTGGTCCAGGCCTGTTGTCTCTGCAAGCGCAATCTTCTCCGTCTCCTGCTCCAACAACATTACTTCAGTAACAATGTTATACATGCAGGTTCAGTTTATGATTCTTCCTCACTATTTTTCCATAATTCTTAGGTAGTGTTAACGTTGCAGACAGGTCAGGGATATCTGTTATCCTTTTGTCATTGTACCGAATACAGACAGACAATGGTATTGTGTTTATACATATGAGCAAGAATTAATAAGGTATGGGAGATATCTTACTGAGGGGTAAGGCCACTTGTAGTGCAGCTCCCACCAGTGGAGCAGTTTCTGCCTGGCCTCCTTTGGGAGCTTTCCTTTCTTCTTTTTCTTGGAAAACTCTTGCCTGAGGCTGCTCAAGTAGCCACTGTACTTCTTCAGGAGCTGATACTTGAGCTCCTTGTCCTCCGCTCGCGGGTCAATCTCCGGTGGGTCATTCTCACGGCCGCTTGGATCCATGTCATCTTCAGAAGAGCCAACCCCTTCTGATTTACCATCTGCAGACAAAACTAGTTTTTGGTTGGTCACATGTTTTCAGTCCAGAGGTTTATTCAGTCAAAATTTCAAAGTATTTCAGTCTCGACCATGCTGGACTGCTACCAATCAAGTGAGCACATCAGAGAGCCCATAACTGTATGTAAAGAATTATATCCGTTCTGGAATGCTAGGGTAGGTCGAACAGTGGAATTTTAGAACAGCAATAGTGTGGCTACAGTCGCAATTAGTAGAATATTGCCAATGGAAGTGGTAGGATAAGGATTTTTAATATAGGATTGAAACAATAAGACAAACAAGACCAGATGAAATCAAGAATGTGAAGACCACAAATTTGTGCCCTGTCATTACATGAACCTGCCCAGTAATTACATGATACACCTATGAAATAATGCAATGTCGCTACTCACCACTACTTTGTAGAGAAAATTGATAACAGAATCATCAGAAAACAATGGGAGCAAATTAAAATAGCAAGAACTAGTAAAAACTTTTCAACTGTAATAAATCTTCTATACATACATTTTGCATCAAACATATTCTATTTTAGGTCAAACAATAATCATAGAAAAACTAAATAGATGTAAAGCAGTTTTTCTTGGTTATAAACAGAAAGGTTCCAAGTAATAATGTATCTGAAGAAGGGGAACACGTGGAAAACAGAAATGGAAATATAAAGAAAATCAGACAATTGTTCACTAACATCACCAGAATAAGTGAATTATTGCTTGTATTAATCCTTATCTGCGACCAATGTAATTCAATGAATAAACTTTTCAGGTGGGGAATACAAGTATCCCAGTCGCGGTGTAAGTGAATAATGACGTTGAAAATAAACAATGATACGTCCCCAAAAGAATGCAATTCTAGCACAGTGTCACGTTTTAGTACCTTATGTTTGACCAATTGTAGATAAAAAAATATCAATATTTATGATACCAAATAAATACCATTAGATTGATTACGAAATGTATTTTCATAATAAATTAATTCGGAGCCATAAATATGAATAACGTTAACTAGAAACTTGGTTAAACGTTAACCACTTTACGTGGCACGCAACTCATAGTTGCATTCTTTTTGGGACGGAGGTAGTATATATGGCCATAACTTTAGTTCAAATGACGAGTAGAAAAAGTAGTGGATCCTTTAATGAGGGTATAGTGACAGGATTTGTTGGCCACACGATGATGGAATCATAACAAAATATCATATTATACATGGTACTCAACAAGGAAAGTTCATGCATCCTTTTTCCATGTATTGTTAACAAACAGGAAAGATACTTTACAGAAAGGGATATCTTGTGGTCTTTCAACAGGCGTGAACTATTTAATTTTTTGTTAACAAACAGGAAAGATACTTTACAGAAAGGGATATCTTGTACGCAGTGTATGTTTAGTAGAATAGCTGTGGTTCTGCCACACATTTTTCCCATGGATACTATTTAATTTTTTGTATATCTAAAGTCTCTTTTTTTTCATATGCATCACAATAATTATAAAACCTGAGCTAGCATTAACATTTTATACATCGCGTCAAGATAGCAGGGAAACAAGGGCAAAGCTTATACACCAATTAATTTGGTTTGCATAAACTATTAGCTTTTAATTCAGAATTGAGATCATAATAAGATACAAAACATGGCTTATATTCTGATAAAATGGCAGTGAAACTTTGCCGGAAACCTCTAAATGAGGCAGATATATATACTATCTGCATGTACCACCAAGCAATTACTCCTAAAATCCTAAGCCATGTGGGAAAGGTGGGCAGTGCACTTATACTTGAACACATATGTACACATTTATCAACGTTCTTAAGCTAGTTTCATACATTAATCCATACCAAAAAGTAAAGCCAGAGCCCAAATGGTCACTTGCTAATTTTATACCTTGTGTGCAGGATGACCAATACTCGCTACATCCTAAAAAGTAAGGGATCAAATTTTGTCCAAAGTCAGACTATCCTAATTTCCAAAAATATAGAGATGACCATTAATATTTATCACATCAAAGAGGTAAATTATGCTTTTGCCGCCTTTCGAAAAATAGAGGTAAATTATGAAACTATATTTTTATAGTGTATCCAATTATGCTGATTTGATCAAACTTATGATACTTTGACTTAGGAAAAATTCGATCCTGTATATTTCAAGAGGGAGGGAGTAGCGAATAAAAAACAAGCAATTAATTAACATAATAGCTAATACACTTTCTTGCTAAATGAGTAGAAATGATCAATCCTGCCAACAATACTTCTATATAAAAAAGGATTGCATAAAAACAACCCTCCATGTGGGCATGTGGGAATGGAATTTTTGGGACAGGAATGGTTACTTTCCAACTTTTGGATAAAAAGTGAAACATCTGTAGCGTCAAAAAAATGCATTATCAGATGCACAAGATAAGATCTACTATTTATTCGAATGGTTAAAACAGAAATGGTGGAAAAGCTGAAACTTTACGGAAGAACCAGGATATTCCTATTTCAGCATCTAATATTAAGTACATGAATTTGTATAGAAGATACACTTGGCACTTTTGGAAAAGTGGACATCCAAGCTTTTGTAAACTTTGAGAATAATTGCTGGCTTCATGTTAGAATATCTGACTAGTCACTCACATGAAAATGATCTTGATTTTTTTTATTGCTTTTGCTGTTGAAAAAAACAGAGCAAAATTAAACCATAACTTAGGAAAACTTTATAAAAATGTTATTGTAACAAGAAATAGTTAAAGTTGTACTGTATTTGGGAACAGAGAGTTAATAGTTCACAGGACTTAATATATACTTAGAACTATACACGGCAAATTTGAACCTAGTCACAAAACAAGCTCTAGCAGTGGATGATTTCCTGCATCCGTTATTGGATCAAATGCAGTAATCTTAAATTGACCTCCTTATCTGACACTACAACGATAAACAAAAAACCAACACAAATCCAATTAGATCCTACCATTTCACAAGGGCTCGTTCGGCTGGTTGAAAAACCAACCGGATTTCACTGTACGCGGATGAAAAACATTGTTCACTCTCTCGCAAATTCCTCCAGATTCCTCCAGATTCCTCCCAGCGAACAGGGCCACAGTACAAAAACAGGTGTAACTAAACTAAATGATCGTATGCTGAGGCTGGCACCATAGCAGTTTTCTGAGTCTGGTGATTTCCTTTTTTTTTAAGACTGGCCTGGTTTAATTCCTAAAAATTTTCACCCCAAACTATCACATCGAATCTTGCGGCACATGCATGGAGTATTAAAAATAGACGAAAAAAAACTTATTGCACAGTTTGGTTGGAAATCACGAGACGAATGTTTTAAGACTAATTAGTCCATGTTAGCCATAAGTGCTACAGTAACTAACATGCGTTAATGATGGATTAATTAGGCTTAATAAATTCGTCTCGCAGTTTCCAGACGATCTATGTAATTAGTTTTTTTTATTAATATCCGAAAGCCTCTTCCGACATCCCCGAAACATCCGATGTGATATCCAAAAGTTTTCATTTCGTGAACTAAACACAGCCTTAAGTCTGGTGATTTCTGTTGTGGGAAACATCTGCAACCCACATATATCTAGATGAGCCTATGCTCCTGTACACAGCTTGGCACAGCCAGTGTGGTAGAACAGTTCCACAGATCTCCCCCTGGACCTCTGTGTAGTATGCACCTTAAACACGAATCTGCAAATGCACAGGCGGCCGGCGGCACCCCCCTGGAATACACGAACGGCGACCAACTTTGTCGCACACACAGGCTTAGTTTGGCTGGTTGGTTTCGTTGCTGATTCGTAAAAAAGTACTACTGGCTAATTTATGTGAGAGAAAAATATTATTTCGACTGAAAATTTTTGATCGTTTTCCACGAGCCACAGCCAAACGAACAGTCGCGTTGCTGCCGCTGCCGCTGCTACTGCTACTGCAACCCAACACGATTGCAGTACGAGCAGGAGTACTACTAGTACGTGCTACAGGCCAGAGCAGAGCTACTGCCTACTGCCGGCAATGTTGCTACAGTTGAGACAGGTCTAAGAAGAATTGGTTATTAGCCATGGCACCATTTCCCAATGCATCTCTGATCTGTCTCTAATCTAGGAGTAGAGCTGCAAGAAAAGAAGTGATGTATGGGACGGGTGAGATGGGACGCTGCTAGCTACAGTACGACTACGAGTAGCAGCAGCTATACTACGACTACACACAAGGCAAAGAAAAAAAAATACCAGGGCCTTGTTTAGACCGGTCACTGTAGCACGTTTCATTTATATTTCACAAACTTTATCCGATCATGAACTAACTAGGCTCAAAAGATTCATCTCGTGATTTACAATCAAACTATATAATTAGTTATTTTTTTTACCTACATTTAATGCTCCATATATACGTCTAAAAATTGACGTGATGAAAGAGAGTAAAAAAACTTGAATTTTGAGGGTATCTAAACAAGGCCTAGTACACGGAGCTGCATCGATCTAGGCGTTGGAGACTCCAGTGCAGAGATGAAAGTATGAAACGAAACAGACGGATTCTCCTGCCTTGGAACCCTAAATATATACTAATTAACATCACAAGCAAGCTGCTGTCACTAGTCAATTGTCATGTGTAGCCGCAGACCAGCAGTTTAACCCCTCGCATTTATTTTTCTTATAAAAAATTGACCCTTCTTCGGCTCGTCTGCATCGTCCGCCGCCTTCACCAGATTCCGGCCAGGGCCCGCGGCCTTGTCCTTGATCGCCGCAGCCACAAATTTCTTCTCGGCCTCGCTCTCTTCCTCCTTTCTCGCGGACGCACGACAATCCACGGCAGGTCCACGACGGGGCTCGCCACGCCGAGGTTGGCGGCTCTTGGGGCCGGCAAGCCACGGCTGATCCACGGCGGGGCTTGCCACGCCGAGGTTGGCGGCGATGCTTTTCAGGCCGACGCCGCACAGGTCCGCTCGGCCGCAGTTCTCCGCCATGCAGAACACCCGGCACCGTACCCCTATCGCCAGACCGCGGAGCCATCCCTTGGGTCATCCATACGTCCATCTCCATGCAAGCCAAGATCACGGCGATACGGCAACAAACTTCGTTCTGTTAGGAATTAGGATAGTTTTTATCTTGTGTTTGCTGCCTATTTTCAAGGCCACGCTATAAGTATGATCTTTGGTTAATGGAAATATTCACTGCGTGTGTATCCTTTCCTTTCACGTACGCTTTCACTATCCAAGCCTTGGGGACGGGCTTCGTGGCCCAGCCATGGCAACGGGGCTGGAGGCAGGCGCGACGCAGGGCTGGAGGCAGCGGAGTTGGGGACGGGCGCACGCACAGTGATGAAGGTGTCGGGGGGCGGTGCACGACGTGGACCTGTAGGCTGTAGCGGCTTCCCGTGCGCTTCGCGCTGGACCGCGCGGAGCTCGTCGGCGCGGACGGGCCCACGCATTGCGACGCCGGCCTTCGACGCCAGGGCGCCTCTCCTCGCTGCGTTCCTGCGCGAGCCAGCGATTGTGGCTACGCTGCCGTAGCGGCCGAGGCCAGCGTTCCTATCCCTATCCCTTCTAGCGCCGCGGCGGCGGCCTTCACCTGCTCCACCTGCGTCGGCCCCGTCGCCAGGAACACCGCGGCGCCACCGAAACTAGCCGCGCGTGCGCCGTCGCCGAGTCCCCCCTGGTTCTCGAACTCGCTTAGGGCCACGGACGGCGCCCCGGCCGAGGGCCAGACCACGCTGGAGAGCACGTCGGGCGCGCCGTTTCCTGCCGACAAGAGCGTGACGCTCGCGATGGCCGGCAGGAGTCGCAGCGTGTCGGAGAGGCCCTTTGAGCTGCCCACCGACGGGTTCCACGCGGAGTGCATCCACACGCCGCTGCCAATATGAGAGACGAGAGAAGGAAGGACCTATTTTTATGAGAAAAATAAACGCGAGGGGTTAAATAAAAAATACATGCCACGCTACCGTGCCATCTAAGGGAAAAAATGTCCACCGGACTGACATAAATCTGCGGTGCACTACTTAATAAATTTTTAGAGATCTAAAAATACATTTTCAAATTTCATACACCTATATTACATATGTTTTTCGAGGGTCGCTGGTGCATTTAACTAAAAAGAAAGGCAAGGATGCGAATGTCGGCGAGCTCATCTCATCTTACAAGCTTGTGCTGGATCTATCCATCAGGTATTAATAATAATTAGACGATAATGCCAGCGGAGAGGCCTGATTAAACAATGGCGAGGAACGAGAGGAGGCGGCCCGGCCATGCGACACGGCGCCTCACTGTGCTGCCCTCGATGCCAACCAAAAGCTAAGCTTGGATACTTAGTGACTAATCAGGTCGCTAATGCTTTTGTGATTAGACTATTAGCTCGTGTCTGGGGCTTATCTGATTGATGGTTAATTAATTTTTTAATTAGGAGGAGGCGATTAAAATAATGGAGAGGGAAGGGCGAGGAGGGCGGCCAGCTCACACTGGCAATGATCCAGAGCAACCACCCCCACTATCCAGAAGCAACCATACCCAATGCGGCAAGCCTCTTTCAACTCCAGTTTATATAAAAACACCCGTACCACCGCCATGTAGGAGCAGCAAGAGAAAAGGGAGGGAACGAGCAAGCGGCAAGATGATAAAGCAAAGCATGACGAGGCTGCGGCTGCTGCTCCGCCTCCGATCCGATGATGTGGCGATCTTTATCTTACCGGTGAGCGAGAGGCGCGCGGAGGAGGAGCCGCCGCCGGAGATGGAGTCGAGCTGCGCCTCCACCCGCTTGAGGAACTCCATGGCCTCGTCGATGGGCTGGGTCAGCTCCTCCCGGTACTTGACCAGCATGTTGCAGTAAGCCTCCTGCGGGAGAGCATTGGCAGAGAGATGAGAATGAATAAGGTTAGAGTCGCTGCAAATCGATGCACAAGCAGGCTGCTGTGTGGTGGATTGATGAACCGGGGATGGGATGGGACCGAGACCGACCATGAACTGGTCCAGCTCTGGGTCGCGCGGCTCGTGGCGGCCCGGCGGGCGCGCGTCCAGCTTCGCCGCCATGGCCGTCAGCCTCTCCAGCACGTCCGGCGGCGCGCCCACCTGCAACCACACAGCGCGTGCGTCATTTCATAGCCACCATGTCATGTTGTGAGGGTGAGCGTGAGGACGCGACAGGCGTGGATAGATATAGATAGATTACGCATCAAATTAAGCAAATCTCGCTTGACGAATCAAGAAATAAAAAGATGCGATTTTTCCGACGACCGGGGTGATGCCAGCCAGGGTGGGAGCTCAAGCTCAGTACTTTCTGGCAGTCGAGGTAGGCGGCGAGGAGCGCCGAGTACTGCGGGTGCGCGACGATCTTGGCCTTGATGGCCTCGGCCTCCGCCGCCGACACCTCGGCGCCGGCGTGCTTGTTGGCGTACGGCGACTGCTGCTGCTGCTGCGACGGCGCCGGGCCGCCCGCCGCGGCGGCGTGGTGGTGCAGGAGCGCGAGCGGCGCGCCGTAGTACGCGCGGGACGCCGCCGCCGCCGTCGACAGCGGCAGCTGCAGGAAGGAGGAGGACGACACCGCCGCCGCCGCCTTGGAGTTGGAGCCCCCGCTGCTGCTCCCACCAGCTCCGGTCCCGAGATTCCCGAAGCTCTGATCCATGGACGAAAAGGAACGGCAGGCGCGATGGATGGAACCCTAGCGAGCGAGCGAGGGGCCGTACAAATAGAGCTCGCCGATCAGCGGTCCCTGTGGTTTCTCTCCCTCCCTCACCACTAATGGCGGCGGCGGCGGCCGTGGAGCGTACTCTCTCGCAGTTGGAGGACGAGGAGGAGGAGAGAGGGGGGAGGGGGAGGCGCGGCTAGATATTAATGGGAAAGGTGTGCGCGACTGCCTCTGCCCTGTGCAGTGTGGATGGCTGGCTTGCTGGTGGCGTCCCCTTTTCTCGCGTCAAATCTCACTGGAGACGAGGGCCTCCCCTCCCCCAGCTGCTGAGGCTCAGCAACAGACGTATGCCCGTATGTGTATGCGTACCCATGTACGTATAGGTACATACACGCCTGCTCCAGGAGACCATGATCATATGCCTGACTAGGTTAAACAAAAAGATAATAAATCTTCGTCCATAGATAATTACTGTATTTCGAATGTAGAAAACTAATAGAAAATATATTTGACATTAATTATTTCTTTTATAGTACATTGTTGTTTGCTAAAAATCATTGTTATCTTAAAAGCTCTTTGCTACAAATCTATTGAAACAAGTTTTGCATCTTAAAACTGTATATAATTTAAATAGTTGCTGATTAAATTTGTAAAGTTTGACTTTTCTCTGCGTAAAATATACGTAGTTATTATTGGGAACATATTTCACCAAAAATGAACATTCTTTTATAACCAATATTATATGTGTATTTGCTACAAGCTAGTCGTAAAGCAGCGCCAGGGTGCTGTACTCAGTCGCAAGCGGGTTGCGCCTCATGTAGTAGGTGCTGTACTAGTAGTACTCAGTCGCAAGCTATGACGTTACTAGTTGTGGGGCCTGTTCTGGTTGATTGTTGTGAGAGAAAAATATTATTCTGTCAGGACGTGAACAGTGATTTTGTGAGATGGCTGGCCAGCCGGCAACCAGCCAGCCAGCCAGCCAGTCGAACACAGCCGTGTATTTCGTCAAAATGAATCTATATATAATATTGATTGGTCGTTATTTTATTTTTCTTCACTTTACCTTTATTTATAAATTTATAAATTTATATATTCGACTTAGCTAAAATTCTATATAAAATTATATTAAGTATTATGAATCTGAATAAATATAATATCAAAACATATTTCATGAAAAATTTTAATGAAGGAAATTTATCGTGAATACTGTTGTGTTGTTTATAAATTTGGTTAACTTAGAAGAAAAAGAGGGAGTACCGTCCTGAAATACGAGGTATATCAAAAGGTTAAATTTTGTCTCTAATTATAGGGTAATCTCTATGCATATCTACCTTTTAAATCCTACTCATGCATACCTTTTAAACAACATCTTGCACAAAATAGCTTCTATAATTTTTTTTTAGAAAGGACGACAAAAGTTTTACCACTATTTTTATTAGACGATGAAAAGAAACAACAAGTGACGGAAATAGCTTCTATACTATAATTAGTAGCGGAAATCAGTGAAATTCGTTCGTACATGTATTTCTAAACTATATGTTGCTAGAAAATTAAGCAAGTCAACAATCAGTCTTTGGTGTATAATCAGTCTTTGGTTTCCAAACATCCTTCTTATTTTTCGTTAAATATTCCATTCATGAGTTGTACAAGTCCCCGTTTGGCACAGCTCATCCACCAACTTCAAGAGTTGTTGTGTGCCAAACAGGGTAAAATAAAACAGCTTCACTTGAGCAACGCCTTAAAACGTGCTCTCACAAGGGATGCTGTGAGATGAAGTTAAAAATAGTAGCTTCACCTAGCTCTAACTCGCTCTGGTGGGCACTGCTTGAGATTCTATTAGAGCATGTTTTAAGAAGCTTAGCATGTGGAGTTATTTTGTCAAATAGTTCAATAAAATAACTGCAACTTTATTGGTAGAATTACTCATGAGCTGAAACAATAAAAAAAAGGTTTCACTTCACTGTGCCAAATGAGGCCAAAATTATACATTAATTAGCAAGCCAAACTCAAGTACACCACCCACTTCAAGGCCCTATTTAGGTCTTCTTTGGCACGGCTTATGTCGGCTTCGGCTTCATCTATTTTGCGCAAATCGAGGCACTGTAGCGTGAAGCCGTTTTGTAAGCCGGGGTTAAAATGAACTAGAAGCCGGGAAAAGACAGTTTTTCTGGCTTCACTGGCTTTGGCTTCACCGGTGAAGCTGTTTTGGATGAGCCGTGCCAAACACTACGTCAAAAAGGGTTTTTAGGGGCGGTTGTAGACCATTTGTAGGAGCGGTTTGCCCAGCCGCCCCTACGCAAGGGTCTCTACAAATCATGTATTTGTAGGGGCGGTTCCCAGACCACCCCTACAAATCGATTTGTAGGGACGGTTGGTACTGTAGCCGCCCCTACAAATCGATTTATAGGGGCGGTCTGGTGTTCGCAGACCGCCCCTATAAATCGATTTGTAAGGCGACTATGTATCAACCGCCTTATAAATCATTTTCGCGCCAAAAAAATTAAATTTACAATTCAAATTCGACCGAAACATATATTTTTCATGCCCACAGTACAACTACTCAGAAGTATACAAAAACAAACCAAAGTATTCGACCCACTCTCAACCGAATTAACAAAGAGCCATCTCGATGGATGGCTCACAGTGCAGCAACACAATGTACCTTAAAGCAAACAAAAGTATCAGACCCACTTGCCTCTCTCTCACACAACTATATAGCACAAGATAACTTTCTTCATCATGGTGACCACTAAGACCGAGGCCCTGCAATATGAGAACTTTCAGATTGCCCTGAAAAGGAAGTACACATGAGTTGGACAATTTTCTAATACCACGTTATGGTAAGAGTTAGTCCACCTAAGTGGGAAAGGAAATTAAGAATGTAAAACTCTAACCTGGAGACCAAGAGCCCGCCCCTGAGGCAATACTTCGTGCCATGTCAGAAGAGATCTCAATCACTTCCATTGGTTGAGGACCTATAAAGACAAGTATACAATTAACTCCAAAAAATGCACCATGTGCCATAGAGTAAAGGACGCTACAATAAGCTCTGACCAGCAGAAGAGGATGACGACAAGCTTTCATGGCATAAAAGGTTTCCCCCAAAGGACAAAGGTGATGGATCCCTCTCCAAGACCTCCTTCTGACGGTTGTAGGGTCAATATCTCTGGTGCTCTATTTCCAGGAAACCTCTGAAATCAGTCACCTTTTGCAACACCAAAAACTACCTTCATTTTGTAAATGAATTATGCAAATTGGCCACCAAAAGGAAAAGGAAATAGGATTTAAGTAACAGAAAACCGGACAGGTTTAGACAAAAACATGAAAACCTAACCAAATTATTTACTTCCATTAATTTTACTGTGCAACTGCATTAATATTCAAGCACAAACCACACGTTTTTTTACAACATCGCAGACCACACGTTGGACCACCAGGAAAATCATTAAACAGATCCGCTCAAGTATTCTCTAGACCAGATATCAACCAAATAAAACAAGTCTAAATTGTGAAGAAAGATTGCTAGGAATAAGCCAATAGGGTTTAAACTAGCTAACAGTTTTAAAAGCAGTTTGTGCAAATGGATTTTGGGAATGATTATGTTAGGCAGTGCAATCAAACATGGTTGCTATAATGACAGAATTGATAATGCAAAAGATGAAACTAGATGGAAAAAACTGCATCTACCAAACCATTACAGAATAATAGTAAAGTCATCTGAAAAGAAATCACTGACAACCAGTACGCCATAAAATCAACAAACCTACTTACTTCCAATAACATGTAGCTTAAATTTTCCTAGACAACAAGAGAAAATTCGTAGGCAGGCAATACATTGGTGATCCAACATTCTGTTTTAAATAAACTATAAAGTACATTCTGCTAAACATCATGAACAACAATGCAATCGGTTATAAAGATCATGGCAAAACAGTGCACCACATTCAACAACATAATTCCATGAATGTTCCAAACTAAATCACTACGGCAGATAAGAAAAGAAGGAAACCTCAGATGTTCCCGACTCATCTTCTTCCAAAGGAACAATTGCTTGATCACCATTACTCCTCATACTGGAAAGTGCTGCAAGGAAGAAACCAGTTCACTAAGTAGAACATGTAGGTTACAGGTCCACTGGAACAAAATGATTAGTCCAACATAAATATCAAATAAAATTTTAGGGTCTGCAGACTAACGTACACAGCAATCAAATTACTTGCAAAAAGAGTTAACATGGTACTTGCCCATCTGCAATTATCAATAGGTCGTGATATATATTGCCCACCACTTTGCAGCCCTCGTCCTCACTGCCCAACTCAATGGATTTGTCTCCCCTGCCACAAATAACCAGTTAACCACCATGAAGATAAAATGCAACTGTAAAGCAACACAGCAAAAAGATAGTGTTAGGTGACACTGTAAAACAACATAGCAAAAAGATAGTGCACCAACTATGAAGGTTTGCGGCAGCACTAAAGCACTGGCCATAGCACACATGAATTTAATCCAGGCTGTCTAAGAATCCAAGTCCAAGATTAGAAGTACCTGAGTAATTGGGGTCAAAGCAAATCGATGAGTAGGTACAGACCTACAACATCTGTAGCAAATCGATGAGTGGGACAGTTATTTAGCTTAAGTGAAGTTACTTTTAGTCTTAAGGGATCATATTTCCTAATTTCTTTAGCTTGCCCTTGTCTGTAACCTGAGTACCCCAGCCCTGCATCAACTAACTCTTTGTGCATTTCCTGGACTTTAGCTTGCACCATGAATATGGTTCCTCTATCTTAAAATATCTATGCTCAACTGAATGGGAATTTGCAATTAAAATGCTGCAAGACTGGAACTGAAAGACTGAATACTTACTCTTGAGTACTAAAAGCCAGGAAGCGGACAGCTAGTAGACGAATTGATACATCATCAGTCCTCAAAACGAATCCCTCCCTCCTAATCAGTCGGCAGTCAGACAAGGTGTCGAATTGCACACATTCGAACTGAAA